TTGTATGACATACGAGTTTAAGGAATTCATTGAAATTGTCATATTTTAACTTAAATTCCCTACTCTCAAAAGAGATAGTGTATTATTACCACAAAATTCTACCCTGAATTCTAAATCACAATATAAGAAATTAAATATACAATGGTAATTTTTGAAGAGTAGAAGATGAAATAAATCAAAACATGTTATATTACTTGGAAATATATTAAAACACAAGAATTATCCATTTGATTATTACACATTACATGTACTTAAAGAATTAATGCATTAATGTCCTAAAATAAATGATTGCAGAACGTGACTTTATGTACTCTAATTCTATTCTCTGAAGTATATCATCCATATAGTATTTTCATAGTCCAGATGTTCATTTTGTGTTTAGAGTATTCTTTGTTACATGTCGTTGTGATTAAAAATAAAGCATTTAAGAAAAAAAGAAACTATACTACCTTGTGGCTACAACTTTTTATATTTCCTTAAGTAAATTGATTTATTCAGTGTTTACAAGAGTCAGTCAAATTAGATACCATTGCTAGAACTTTCTTTTTTCTTATAGGATGCATGGCAGCTTTTGAATATGTTCAGTTTTGGGTCCTAATAAACCTTGGAAAACTACTAAGACTGTATACAGGGTACAATTGTTGATGTATTATTTTCAATTAAGTTAATACCACATTGCACTCAATTACACTCTTACAGGACAGACCTACATCTTAAACTTTGATCTAATCTTTAAAATTAAAATAATTTCCATTAACACTTTACAAGAACTACTGTCCTTTTCTTTTTTTAGCACTATTTTTTCTTTAAAATTTTCTTTAGCTTTGAAGGTTTCATATCAAATGGCAAGAGTGCCATCTAGAGCTCTATGATTATTCTTTTAATATATCTAAAAGGAAGTGGGATTCTACATAATCTAGAGATAAGTTGTCCAATGAGGTCGCCACCAGCCACATGTAGCTAATAAGTAGTTGAAATGTGACTGATTTGAATTAAAATGTGCTGTAAGTACGAAATATAAACTGTTTTTTAGACACTAATGCAAAAACAGAATGTAAGTTATCTCATTAATGATTTTATGATTTTAATATTAAGTCTTAAATTGAAAGTATCTTAGATATGTAGAGTTAAATAAAATATTTCATTAAAATTAAGTTTACTTATTGTTTTTACTTTTAATGTAGCTACTAGCAAATTTTAAATTACTTATGTGACTCATAATATTTATATTGGACAGTACTGATATAGAAGAAAAATTATGTTAGCCGTCAACATAAAAACTTCGATGTTACTATATTTCATGTTTGCAAAAAATAGAAGTTATATAATGTGTTCATAATTATAACTAGTTACTCCTCTAAGACATAATCAAAGCTACTAACTCAAAAAGGTCAAAGAGGAATTACAAATACATATATATATATATATATTTGGAATAAGAAAAACAGAGAGAATATGGAAAAGCTAGAGAATAAAGATAATTTTAATGACATAGAAAAGAGATGATCTGAGCACTAGTAGGAATAGTAATTTAACATGAATTAAAATATACAGATGAATCTATAAGTTCATAATGACACCAAAATACTAGTTGTCACTTTTGAAAGATATTGAGCAAAATTTATTTATTTTAAATAAAAGAAAAAATACATAAAAAATAAATAAAGGATATAACATTTTTAAGGGAAAGAATATAGTATTTATCATGCCTTTCCTATAATCAAATAGCGAATGACAGAACTTCGCTTTTACAGAACTATTCAAACCAAGAAATCAAGAAAAAATTGGAATGTCCTGTTTTTGGATTCTCGATCAATCACAAAAACAACAGATCATATTCATTTATACTAAAAATAAATCTAAATAAAATATAAGCAAATAGGATTTACCAGTGTCCCAAATAATAATGTTTGACTTAACTTAGAATGAAAAGATGTTTATCATGAGAATATCTATTAATGAAACCTAGCATTTAACAACATAGAGGAAAAAGTCATCCATGATAAAATCTTGCAGTACAATAAGTTAGGAATTTGCTTAATTGTTACAAGGAACATAAATATATAAATTATAATTAGCATCCTACTTGATAAGGCTGTCTATTGTAATCACTGTGATTCAACACTGAAACACATCCCAACATCCCAATAAGGAGATAAGAAGATTGCAAAAGGAATCAAACTGTCCTTATTTGCATGTAATATAATTAATTGCACTTAAAAACAAGAAAATCTATAAACATTATTAATAACAGTTTCTTGAAGTTGATGAATACAAGATCAAAACATTAAATGATTTTTATTTTTAAGTATCCAATATGAAATCCATTTTTTAAAGACACAACTTAGAATACTAATAAAATTATTTAAAAATAGAATATATTTTACACACCCAACAAAACATGTTCAAGGCATAGACACATGAAATTGAGCTCAAATATTATTTTAAAATAAAAAAATAAAAAATAAAAAAATAAATTGAGCTCAACATTATTAGTCAGTAAAGACATACAAAATAAAACCACAAGATAATACCAGTCACACTCTAGAATGTCTATAATCAAAGAGACAAGCAATATCAAGTGTTGATAAGGATATGGAGAAGTTTAAACAATCATAAATGGCTACTGTGAATGAAAAATGGTACATACATGCTAGAAAACTATTTCATAGCTTATTAAAAAGTTAAGCATAAGCCTATCATAACAACCCCAAAATTACAGTCCCAGGAATCTACCCAAAGAAAATAAAAACATATGTACAAATGAAGCCCATATGAATGTTCAGTGCAGCATTTTTATTAACAGCCAAAGCCTAGAAACAATCCAAATATCCATCACCTTTTGAATGGACACACAGAAAAAAAAGTAGTATATTTATATACTGTTATACTGTTCATTAAATTAAAAAATGAAAATCACTCTATTAATAAACTAGAAACTTCTTATGATCATCTAAATACAGAAAAGCATTAGAAATAAATCACCCATTTCTGAATTTTAAATGCTCAGTGAAGTAGAAGATAGAAGGCATTTTCTTCAACCTGATAAAGACAGTGAGCAAAAACTTACATCATATGCATATGTAATGAAAAAAGACTGGATACTTTTCCTCTTAGATCAGGAACAAAATGAGAATAAATATTTGCATGCTCACCACAGCTTTTAAACATAGTATTGGAGGTGCTAGCCATTGCAATAAGTCACCAAAAAAAAAAAAAAAAAAAAGCATACAGATACAAAAGGAAGAAATCAAAATGTCGTTATTCACCAAAAAATACTATTATCTATGTAGAAATTCTGATAGAATCTACAAAAAAGTACTAGAACTGAAATGTCAGTTTTTCAAAACTACAGGATACAAAATCAATATAAAAATTAATCACAAATGCTGGAAACAATCAGAAATATACATACTTAAAAACTACCAATAACAATAGAATAAAAGTATAAAATATGTAGGAATAAATGTGACAAAATAAAAAGATCTGTACAGTTATAACTATAAAACACTGTTGAAAAAATTAAGGAATAATTAAGAAAAAATAAAATACATACTATATTCATAGGTCAAAAGATTTACTTTAGTTAAGATGTTGATTCTTCCCAAATTGAATTCAACTAAAATTCAACAAAATCCCAATATGAATTCTAGCCTATGCTTTATGAAAATAGACAAGCAGATTCTAATATTTACAGGCTAATGCAAAGGAAAGGGAATAGCCAAATAAGTTTGAAAAGGAAGAACATGGTTGGAGAATAAATATTACCTGATATCAAGACTTATAAAATTAAATTAATTACAAAAGTGCTCTGTTGGCATGAAAATAACTAAATAGATTATGAAACAGAAAAGCTAGAAATAGATCTTTGCATATACAGACAATATAGAGACAATAAGCCTCTACATATACAGACAACTGATTTTCAACAAAGGTGCATGACAATTCATTGGTTAAAGAATACTCTAAAATAATTGTGCTTGAAAATTTCAACATTTATATGGAGAAAAAAGAACTTCAATCCATTAGTACTATATACACAAATATTACCTCAAATTGGACCATATAGTTAAACAAAAACCCTAAAAATGTAAGACGTCTATAAAAAAGGGGGCAGGGAATATCTGTGACCATTTGTTAGACCGTTTGTTTTTCAAAAGAACAAATTGATAAGTGAATTTTCTTTTCAATTAAAAACTCTCTTTAAAATAGTGCTAATAGGATAAACAGTCAAACCACAAACTAGGAAAAAGTATTTGCAAATTATATATCTGATAAAGAACTTGGATCTGAAATAAGGTATCCTGAAAACTCTTTATTATAAAAACAATTCAATAGAAAATTGAGCAATGGATTTAAACAGATACTTAACCAAATAAAATATACATGTGGCAAATAATCACACGAACAGATGCTTAACATCATTAATCATTAGTAAAATGCAAATTAAAACGTGAATCAGATACCCTTATACATCTATTAGAATGGCTAAAACTTAAAAGACTAACTATAAAAAAAGTTGAGAGATGTGAAAGAACTGCAACTCTCCTAGACTGCTGGTGGGAAAGTAAAGTGGTACAACTGTTTGGAAATCAACTTGACGGTTTATTCCAAAGTTGAACATGTAGCTACTGGATAATCCTTACCCAAAAAAGTATTTGTTAGTACAAAATCAGTGCAGTTTTAGTAATGAACAAAATCCTGCAAAAGATCTATTAAAAATTATATTTTTTCAAAATTAATCATAAAAATATTACACTAAAATCACATCGTGGTCCATTTTTATAAAAGAGATATGGCTATTTTACTGTTCAGAGTTAAAAAATGCACCAAATACAATGAAAAAAATAATGCAAAATTGCATTTCATTTCTTAGCAATATATAAGATTAAGAAATAGAAATTACAAGATGACAATTATAGTTATTGAAGATTAAATCAATCATCTAAAACTGATAATATAAACCAATTATTTAAAATTAAAAATATACAAATACTTACAATAACATGTCCCTCTTAGTGGATTACCAACATAGCGATTTTCAGAGTCACATCTGTAAAAACACAAAAATTTACTTACTATTAAATGATGTAATTCAAAAGCCTTCTGTTTTTATCAATTAAAAATGTATTTAGACTCTAAATTAAAACATCTTTAAAAAACTATATCATTAATTGAAATTCTAAAAACAAGTCCTCAAAAGAAATAATTACAGAAAACTATATTTGAAAATACATAAGAAAACAAATAGCAGAGAAAAAAACCACATGAGATGAATATAAGGAATGTTAAAAGTCAGATAAGATATGAGCTTTGGAATATATATCTTTCCTTAAAAAAGAGAAAAAGTTAAAGTCAGAAATAAGATATAGATATTTTTAGGTAGAAGAAGAAAACTGAGGGAATTCATAAATCCACATTATTCTTTCGGTATTCTTTGAAATTAATATATTTTCCTCAGTTTCTACACCAATGAACCTAATATGTAAAAAAGGCCTCCTAAACTGAGTAATGAGAAAAAGGTTTCTCCAACCAACTAACCCAAACAAAATAGACTAATATCAATTAAATTCAGGAGTTCAAACTTTCAATTTGTGTAAGCAGATTACTAAAAAAACAAAAACAAAAAAAAAATGAAAGAACTTATGAGAATTCAAACCCATGAGCTAAAAGTTAAATACATCAAAAATCTGCATAACTACAGCAAGAAGAAAATATTAAGTATTTTAAAATTTTTGAAGTTAATATTTTAACTGCATTTTCAGAATAAAATTAAAATAACAATCTCTAACACAGACATAGCTTGTTTTAGCATAATGCTACTTTTTGGAACATTCTTCAAAATCAATTACTATAAAATATATACACTAGGGTAACTGAAAAAAAAACAATATTTCAATTACATGTAAAAGTTTAAAAAAATGAGACAGACCTTCTGAAATGTCTTGAATTTTCCAGTAGAATGCAAAATAATATATAAATAGTGGAGAATAATAGGCTAAATAACCAGATGACATTCTCACTCAATATTCAGTCATATGCTTCATAGTTTTTGTATTTATGGAAAAAATGAATTGAAGAGTAAATTTTTCTCTACATTTATTATAAAATTAAAGTAGAAATATGGCAGCCCTTTTTACCACCAACTCTATAAAACGAAGAACGTATGAGTGGTAGGTTTTCTATGACACCTCCAAATACCACTTTTAAGTTTTGTGATATACATTAGTTTTCCAGCATTAAAAAAATGATTATACCCATTATTACTAGGTTAAGTATGTCAGAACCCACACTATTCCTATATTATTTTCCTTCCTTCAGGCTTGCCTCCTAATCCCATAACTTTGTACCAAGTATATACTTATACTGAAGGACGAATTTACATATGAAATAATAATTCCTTTTTCTGTTGCAAAAAACTAAATAAATTTGACTTGTCACAGATGTGTATCTCAATACTGTTAGAATAGAAAATATTCAACATAATAGTCCCGCATTTTTATGCATAATATATCTTGCATATCTTACTTTCCCAAATAGATGCTTTCAAAATCCCATAGCAATAGAAACTACTAACTTTCACAAACAAAATATTTCAAATGCTTTTTTAAAAGTTGTGTTTGGTTTTTATTTATTTATCTGTTTCCTTGTTTGTGTATGTTTTTGTTTTGAGTAGGAGTCTCAGTCTGTTGCCCAGACTGGAGTATAGTCGCATGCTCACAACTACCAAAGCCTTGATCTGCTGGACTCAGGTGATCCTTCCACCTCAGTCTTCCAAGTAGCTGGAGCCACAGGTGCATGCCACCATGCTTGGCTAATTTTTTGATTTATTGTAGAGACGAGGTCTCGCCAAGTTGCCCAGGCTGGTCTCGAACCACTGGACTCAGGCAATCCTCTCACCTCCACCTCCCAAAGTGCTGGTATTACAGGCGTGAGCCACCAAGCCTGTGTCTGATCTTTAACTGCCACATAATGATGACACATATTTATGGGCATCATATGATATTATAATATAGGTATATATTTTGAAACAACCAAATCAGCTTAACTAGTATATCCATCACCCTGAACACTTGTCATTTTGTTGTGATGAGAACATTCGAAATCCTCTGTTCCAGCTTTTTGAAATGTACAATACATTATTGTTAACTATATCAACCCATTATGCAATAGACCACCAGAATTTATAACTCCCATCTAGCTATTACTTTGTATCCGTTGACCAAGCATTCCACCTCCCACCCTTCCTCATACACTCCCAAACCTCTGATAACCACTATTCTACTATATATTTTTTTAGAATCCACATATTCTTCTGTATTTGGCATAGTTCACATAACATAATGCCCTTTAGGCTCATCCATGTTGCAACCCAAATGACAGGACTTCATTATTTTTTATAGTTGAGTAGTGTTCCATTATGTTAATGTATGTGTGCATAATTGTACATATAATCACATTTTTAATCCATTCATCTCTTGATAAACACATAGATTTAGTCTTTAACTTAGCTATTGTGAATAGTACTGCAAAAAACACAAGAATGCAATTATTCCTTTAATATACTGATTTTTTTTCCTTTGGATAAATACCTAGTAGTGGGATTGCTGAATCGTGTGGTAGTTCTATTTTTGGTATTTTGAGAAATTTCCATGCTGTTTTCCATAGTGACTGTACTAGTTTACAGTCTCATCAACAATGTATAAAAGTTCCTTTTTCTCCACATCATCACTAGCATCTGTCATTTGTTGCCTTTTTTTTTTTTTTTCATTAATCAGTATTTTTTATTATGGTTTTGTGGGGTACAGTTAAGGGTTAGGTGTACAATGACGTTTCATTCAGGCACTCTGTAAATAAAAAGTGTTTTCCCATCCCCCGACAGATATTTGCTACTGTTAATCCCATCTCCCTCCCCCCCATAGTTTCCCAGTACCATCAGTCATTTTCTTATAGTATTGCATTGGATGTTCAAGGTCCATTATATGAGTGAGAACATGTGATATTCGGATTTTTGTTTTTGTGAGAGGTCACTCAGTATTATAGGCTCTAGTTCCATCCAGGTTGCAGCGAAATTCATGATTTTGTTCTTTTTTATGGCTGCGTAGTATTCCATCATGTATATGTACCACGTTTTTTTAATCCAGTCCTCTTTTGATGGGCAGCATGGTTGTTTCCAGGTTCTTGCTATTGTGAACAATGCTGCGATAAACATACGTGTGCAGGTATCTTTTTTATAGAGTGATTTGCGTTCTTCAGGATATATTCCCAGTAGGGGGATTGCAGGGTCATATGGAAGGTCAATTTTTAGAGCTTTTAGGAATCGCCACACTGCTTTCCACAGAGGTTGCACTAGTTTACACTCCCACCAACAGTGTAGAAGTGTTCCCTTTTCACCACACCCTCTCCAGCAGCTGTTATTTTTTGAGTTGTTGATAATTGCCATTCTGACTGGAGTTAGGTGGTATCTCAGTGTGGTTTTGATTTGCATCTCCCTGATGATTAGTGAGGTTGAGCATTTCTTCATGTGTTTGTTGGCTGCTCGAATGTCTTCTTTTGTGAAGTGTCTGTTCATGTCTTTTGCCCATTTTATAATGGGGTTGTTTGTTTTCTTCTTTTCAGTACGTTTCAGTTCCTTGTAGATCCAGGATGTTAAGCCTTTGTCAGACCTAGAGTTGGCAAATACTTTTTCCCAGTCTGTAGGCTGTCTCCCTGCTCTCTTGATGGTTTCTTTGGCTTTGCAGAAGCTTGTCAGTTTAATAAGGTCCCATTTGTCTATCTTCTCTCTTAAGGCCTGTGGGTTTCGGGTTTTGTTCAGGAATTGGATGCCAGTTCCGATTTCCTGAGAGTATTTCCTTCATTTTCTAAGGTTCTTATGGTTTGAGGTTTTACATTTAGGTCTCTGATCCATTTGGAATTAACCTTTGTGCATGGGAATAGATAGGGGTCCTGTTTCAATCTTCTGCATGTGGTCAGCCAATTTTCCCAGCACCATTTACTGAATAGGTTCTCCTCTCCCCAGTGGTAGGTGTGGAGGCTTTGTCGAAAATGAGTTGGTTGAGAAATTGAGGTATTGCTTCTGAAATCTCAATTGTATTCCATTGATCTATATACCTGATCCTATACCAATACCAAGCTGTTTTGATGATTGTAGCTTTATAGTAAAGTTTGAAGTCTGGTAGTATGATACCACCTACTTTGTTTTTTTTGCTGAGGATTGTTCTGGCTATTCTTGGATGTTTGTGTTTCCATATGAATTCCTGTGTTGTTTTGTCTAGGTCTGAGAAGAATGTTGTTGGTAATTTCATGGGTATTGCATTGAATTTGTAGATTGCCTTAGGTAAGATGGACATCTTCACAATGTTGATTCTTCCGATCCATGAGCATGGGATATTTTTCCACTTGTTCATGTTGGCTTTGATTTCTTTGAGCAGTGTTTTGTAATTTTCATTGTAAAGGTCCTTTCACGTCTCTGGTCAGGAAGATGCCAAGGTATTTCATTTTTTTGGTGGCTATTGTGAATGGAACTGTGTTTTTTATTTGGGTTTCTGTTGTTTATTATGGTGTAGAGAAATGCGATGTCTTTGTACATTTATTTGTATCCGGAGATTTTGCCAAAGGCTTTTAACAATGTAAGGAGGCCTTTGACAGATTCTCTTGAGTTTTCAAGGTACACCATCATATCATCTGCATAGAGAGATAACTTGACTTCCTCTTTTCCTATTTGAATACCTCTGATTGCCTCCTCTTCTCTGATTGCTTTAGCCAGGACTTCCAATACTATGTTGAACAGGAGGGGAGAGAGTGGGCGTCCTTGTCTAATTCCAGTTTTCAGGGGAATTGGGTCTAATTTTTGTCCATTTAGGAGTATGCTGGCTGTGGGTTTCTCATAGATGGCTTTTACTATTTTGAGGTATGTTCCCCGTATGCCTAGATGTTCAAGGGTTTTTATCAAGAAGGGGTGCTGGATTTTATCAAAAGCTTTTTCTGCATCTAGTGATATGATCATGTGGTTTTTGTTTTGACATCTGTTGATGTATTTAATTACATTTATGG